CCATGGTTAAATGTGTTTAAAAGATCTATATCATTGGATCTGTTTTCTGATATTTCTTTAAAAATTATACACAAACATCATTACCTATATGTCTTTTCTTATCTAATTGTGGATCATTTGTTTCCATAAATGGTAAATATGGAGCAATATGATAAACAATTTCTATATTATCAAGTGAAAATTTATTAACATAAGTATAATCTCCCATTAAACGATTCTTAGTATCTAATCCACCAGCAAATCCTTGATATCCAAATAATTCAACTTTATCTCCAAGAAGTGTTAAGAAATGTTCAAAATAATCTGAGCCTTTTCTATTATTAAAGAATTCCATTTCTTTAGTTTGTCCAGGAGCAGCATACAATACACCAAATTTATATCTTTTATAAGTAAAGAAATTTTCAAATTTACATAATGCATTATAAATAGGTTCTCCTCTTATTGGAGCCATTGATTTTTCTTTAAAATCTGGGAATAATTCTTTTAAAATTTGATGATCAGTTTTTCCTTCAAACATCTTTCTAATATCATTTCTTTTATTTCTTATTATAACTCTTTTTCTTGTTTTATCATCTGATATTGATACAATAGAAATATCATTTTCATGATGAATAATATAATTATTATGATCAGCAGATGTAAAATATTTTTGATAATATGGAATACATGCTTGTGGATCATGAACGTTTCTCTTTAATAACAAATCATATTTATGTGTTGTTGATGTAAAATAATTTTCAACATGAAATCCTGTTGGAAGAGTATCCATATCAATATGAAGTAATTTAGAATTCATTACACTATCAGTCCAAACTTCTGTTGGGAATGGAACATTTTCAAATGTTTCAGAAGTACTTTGAATTTCTTGTACACTAAGAACAGCACCATCATATTTAATTCTAATTATATTCATTAATTCTTCCATTTGACCTTTTTCTTCTGCAACTTGAGACAATGGTTTTCCTTTATAAACTTGTCCAATATTAGCTCCATATTTAAGAAGCATTTCCATTAAATCTGTATTTCCTTTCATAACAGCAGAATATAAAGGAAATATTCCGTTATTTGTTTGATGATTAACGTTTGCACCTGATTCACATAATAATTGAATTGATTTAAGATCCATTGAATTAGCACATACCATAGTTAGAGCAGTATCTCCAGTTGAATTAGTAATATTAACAAAATTAGCATTTTCTTCTTTACTTCCTTTTTTCAGTAATAATTCAAGAATATCATAATAATCTTTTAAATTTTTATTTCTACATAAATAATGTAATGGTGTATTCATTCTTTCATTCTTTAAAGCACGATCAGCTCCATGTTCTATTAAGAGAATTACAAGTGATTTATCAATTTTTTCAGCAGTTAAAGCTTTATGTAAAGGAGAATATCTATTTTCATCACATGCATTTACATTAGCTCCTTTATTAATTAAAAATTCACATAAATTTTTATAATTTTTTTCACATGCATAATATAAAAATGTTCTTCCAGTAGCATCTTCATCATTAACACCATACTTTTTTATATATTTTGATATTTGTGTTTCAGCTTCTTTTTCACTCATCACTTTTACACCTTTTAATTTATCAACTATTTGTATTAATTTTTCTGATTTTGGTTTTATTGGACAATAAGCCATCCAAAAAAAGAATGATCCATCTACTAATGATGGCACTCCTGAACCAACTTTTAATACAAATCCTGTCTCAGTTGCTTCAATATTTGAAGCATCAATTTTATTAATTTGTGGATAAAGAACACATACCATAACCTTTGGAATACTAGCAAATGGTGTAGAAAAATTAGTGTTATAAACACCATTAACACATGAACTTTTTTCTATTTTTCCACAACAAAAATGTTCTCCACGAGGAGGGAAATAATTAATGAGAGAATCATATTCTTTTAATAACCCCTTTGCTTGGTGATATCCGGCTTCATACTTTTTAACTTTCTCTTTAAGGTCTAATATTTCTTCTTCGTATTGCATTTTCATAAAATCATACTTTTCTTGGTCAACATAACTTGGTTGTTCCTGTTGTGACATTGTATATGAATAATCATTTGGATCATAAGGTGTAGTATTTTTCTCTTGATTAGACATAGGAGTTGTAGTAATTTTTTTGAGTTCGTTTTCATTACTCTTTTTTTAATTACTTATTTTACAAATAAATATTACTATACTAATTTAAATATTATTCGATTTATTATTTTCCTTTCTCATAATTTCTTATTTTTCTCTTTTTATGACTTATGTCTTAATTTAAAAAAACTCTATTTGATTCTTTTTTTTTCTTTGTTTTTATTCAATGTTTTTAACTTTAAGCTATTGGCTATTCTTTTACAGTTGTTGAGAAATCTTTCTTAAAGCAAAAAGATGTGGTTAGTAGTCTGTCCCCTGACCAAGAGAAAATAGAAAATAAGTCTATTAGCGCTTAACTAACTGCCCTTTTATTTTTTTAACTTTAAGCTATTAGTTATTCTTTTACTCATAGTTCCTTACTGCTTTGTATATCAATTATACGTTTATTGCTCTTAAAAAAGCTATGAAAATTGTATCATTTTTGTGCTGAAAGTAAACCTCTTTTATTCTATCTTTTACAACAAAATTCCTTAACTATAATCCTTTTTTTATCTGCCAAGTTTTAATTAATTGTTCTTAGCTTTTGTTTTTTGTAAAATAATATCAATTAATTTACTTTTGATATTTTAAATAAAAATATAAATATAATTTCATTTTTCTTTGTATTATTTTTTTAAAATTTATAAAGTTTAATCATTGATTCTTAATTCTAATTGATAAAATATTAATATATAAATCATAGTATCATTAAATTAACGTGGTGTGTGTTTACGGAGCATTTTGATTTATGAGAAGTTAGTTATTTTGTCTTATTGCCTATAAGTTTAGAGTATTAATGGCTTATCTGTTAGACATTAACTTTTTTCAAAGAAATTAATTAAAAAATGTTTCTTAAGATGGGAAAGAAATAAAATAATAATAATTTTTTGTAATTTTTTTAAATAGAAAGTTTTTTAATAGAATAACAAGAATATATAACACTGTTTATTCAATTTTTTAAGATCCATAAAAAGATAATTAATGATTTATTAATAAACCATTGATATTAATGTTTAAAAAGTAAAAAAGATTTATAAAAAAAATAATTCAATTCAAAAATATATTCTTTTATTGTTGGTGACATTGAACATTTCCTTGTTGGTCATTATCATCATCATCATCGTCATCAGACATTTGTGTTTGTCTATATCCATTTTCAGAACGTTCTGTTGGAGCAGCAGATGGAATTAAGGTACATACAGTGCACTTTTCATCTTTCATTGGAACTGAAGATGGTTTTGGTAATAATTCTTTTAATTGAGAAATATTTTGAGCAATTTGCGCTTTAGATGGAAGAACAACCTCAAAATGGATATACAAATCACCACGTTCTTCAGGATGATGTTTAATTGTAAATCCTTCACCGTTAATTTTCATATAACTATCTGGTTGAATAACTTCTTTTCCTTCAATATATAATATTCTTTCATCTAATTGTTTAACAGTAAATGCAATACCTGTTAATGCTTCATTTAATGTAATTTTTTTATTCATAACTAAATTATTTCCTTTACGTTCAAATATTCTATGTTCTTTAGTTTGAACTACAAAAATAACATCTCCTGGAATTAAATTTGGTGCTTGATCAGACTCTCCTTCAAAAACAATTCTTTCATTATTTTTAGTTCCTGGTTGAACAATAATTTCAAGTATTTTTTCTTCTGAAACAACTTTATTTCCATGACATGTTTTACATTTGTCACTATCTGAAATAAGCTCTCCTTGTCCTTTACACATTGGACAAACTTGTTGACTTTGCATCATATACATTCCTTGTCGTGTAGTAATCATTACATAACCATTTCCTCCACATTTACTACATCTCTTTGGTTCATTACCTGATTTAGTTCCTTTTCCTTTACAACTCTTACAAAGAATATCATGTGTAATCTTTCTTTTAAATGTTTTTCCATTATACAAATCCTCTAAATCACATTTTAATGGTACTTGAATTGATTGTCCTTTTCTTGGTCCTGATGGTCTTCTTGGATGTCCAAAGAATTGTGCAAATATATCATTCATATCAAATCCTCCCATTCCTCCTTTTTCAAGTCCTTCTTTTCCATAACGATCATACATTTCTCTTTTCTCATGATCAGAAAGAACAGCATATGCTTCTGAAACTTCTTTAAATTTTTCTTCAGCATTTTTATCTCCTGGGTTTTTATCTGGATGGTACTTAATCGCAAGCTTTCTATATGCCTTTTTTATTTGGTCATCACTTGCATCGGCAGGAACACCGAGACTATTATAATAATCCATTTCTTTTGGCATTGTATTAAAAATAATTGTCCTTTACTTACTTAAGTTCAACCCTTTTATTCTCTATTTCAAGGTGATGTGTTTGTTGGGAGTCTCCACGTAATCCGTCATTTGTTTCCACGTCACTTAAACGTAAATTAAATTATTCTGAAATATCAAGCCTTTAATATTTTTCAAAAAGAATTAATTACGTTTTATATGACATTATTGGGTTAATAACTCTAAAATGACAAAAAATAAAAAAAAAGGAAAACTTAAAATAAAAGAAATACAAAGTCTAAATTAATAATGAGTATAAAAGATAGAAGGAAGAAACCAATTAGTCTTAAAAAAGAAAAATTATTTTCTGATCACACAAGTCAACAAACAAGAAGTTCTTTAGCAAAAACGACATCATATCATAGTGACAGAGAATCATTACCCACACCCTCAGCGAATCCGAATCCAAATCAGACCTTATTATTTTATGTTTGTTAATTTTTTTTTAGATACGTTGTAGGTAAAAAAAATAAT